GATGACTTGCAGCCGCCTCCCTGTAGCTCTGTTCTTTAGAGGTAGTCTCCTGCCTCCTCATCCTCTTTTGCTTTTCAGCTGCCGGAGGTGTGGAGGTTGAAGACCTCACTCTCTTCTTTGACCCTGAGGTCTTTTTCCCCGCAGGTTGTTTAGGGTTGGCTATCGTAGCCTGCCCTTTACCCTTGGGGTTTATCCCGGAGGAGGATGGACCCGGTTTCGGCGGGTCGGTATTCGCCGCCTCCGCCTGCAAACGAGCCTTCCTCCGCCTTTTTACCTCAGCCCCGCAGATTCGCTTCCTCCTAGGAGGCTGCGACCCCACATTGGCCGGGTTTTCTGTTTGAGGTGCATCCGAAGGCACTTCCTCAGTGGTTTTTTTATTATTTTTATTTTCCATGATCTGGATTTAGATTTCGTCCTCCTGCGTCCCCACCCACCACGGAGTCCAACAAGGGGACGTCGAACTTCGACGTCAGGGCTAGCAGAAGGATATAGCCCCCAGGGAAGCTCATCCTGCAGTACGCAGCCTCAACTAGTGAGGTTACTCGTGCTCAGACTACACTTTTTATTACGCTTTGACCAATGTAGTCTTTGTGCACTGTATTTATGAAATAGTTTAGGCTATATATCCTTACAAAAACATGCGAAAAGTTGTATCACAATGGTACCAAAATTTCTTTGCAATTTAACAAGCAGACACTTACCGCTACAGAATGGAATTTTGCACAACACTGCTTTGGCGCCAAATACTTTCGAATAATATGCACTAGATGTCGGCAACTATTCTAGATTTAAAAAAAATAGGGTGGTTCAATTCAGGCACTGGTCCAATAAGGGGGACTTTCCCCTACATGCTGTATAGTTTTTATTCCAATACGTGGAATTATATAATCGATGATGACAATCAAACGTAAATTACAACTAAAAAGACATGAATAACAGTCATATGTTCGTGTCATAATCTGTTAAATTTTGTGTAGGATTATCTTTAGACTGATACAGTATTATGCATAATTCAACTCTATCAATTCCATGAATGTCCAATATTACGCATAATTATGCTATCGTCAGTTTCTTTGAGGAAACCGTAACAGCACAAACATGGCGAAATAATATCCTAACAGCTTTTGTTCAAGAGTTACAGGATAATGAACTCCAAACTCCAAGACGGATTTTTTCAACATGACCGTGCCACGGCATATACAACAGTAGACAATTTGAATTTTTTACCTGAATCTTTTTATGATAAAGTGATAAGTTTACATTCAGTTCCTGAGTACCCCCCAAGCTCACCAGATTTAACACGTCTGGATTACTTCTTGTTCGGTCATCTAAAAAACACCATTTTTAAAATTAAAATTCCCATTCACACCACAGAAGAACTGAAAGTATGCAACCAACATTTCACACGTGTTTGGTTAACTGCATAACCTGAAAAGGATCCGAAACAGAGAAGACATACGTTCAAAATCGCACAGCATTCTGTGATCTGAATAATTAATGAAAACACGGCATAACTGAAGGCAAGTAAGATACAGCAAATCTGAGTTCGATCAAAGTGTATACCATGTATAAAAAATTGATCGAACATTTCTTAGGCAGAAATTCTCTCGCATCTGAAGTCAAACTTTCAAACAAAGTTAGTGTCACAGTAGATGTCATGGAAAAGAAATGTAGGTAAACGAGAATGACAACCGCACTCATTCAAAGTTGTTCAAAACCAGCATCTTAGGGCCATAAACGTTTTTATAAACTAATTGAGATTAAAACTATAAGTGGGGAGTAAGTATTATTATTTTACATAATTTAAAAAAAAATAAATGCACACAATTTTTAACGGACGTCATCTCCATTGCTGGTGTGGATGATTAACTATATTTTGGTTTCAGTAATTATCTGTCAAATAAAAATCGACATACACAAATAGACGACAGACGAAGGGTGACAGACAGACGGAAACGGGAGATATATTTTTTCGGATTCTACCTGACATAAAACGTCGAGAAAATATGAAAGTAACTAGTCGTCCGATGGCCTCGATTACAATAATTCGTTAGCCTTACGCACAGGAAGATAGGTAAATCGGCCGTTTTAGAGTTACCGCTTAGGTTCTATTTGAAAGAAATGGGATAAAAATTTCTTAATTAGTATTTGTCATTCCACATATTCTATACGCCAGCAATTTTTTTTTAATAAGTATATCATTTAAAAAAAAATCAGAAACATACTATAGCATATATGTTGATACCCATTTAATTTAATTTTGAAATGTCACTTAAAACCTGACTGTTTAAAAAGCAAATATGCGGACACACTACTTATAGATAAGGCATTCTAAATTATTTATAGCTGCCGTATGTCTAGTAAACCCATTGTGATTGTGCTTAAAATTTCGAAAATTGTTGATCTGTTTAAACAAAAAAATCCAGCAGCCATGAAATTCGGACGATATCTTAGTATCATGGTAATGACATCACGGGTAATAAGGCGGTCATTCTTGACAAGAAGCAAACTTTGTGACTTATACAACAGAACCAAAATATATTCGTATTCTTTTAAAACAGAATCAAAACGCAATACTACAGAAAGCAACCCACACTGAAAATTTAAATGTCAAATTAAGTCGCAGGGTATTAAAAAATCTTACCCAATATAACATTATTACTAAAGTCTTGCAAGCAATCATCAATTGCATCCAGTACTTATTATTATTATTATAACCTTTGTAACCTCCGTTAAGTATGATGTCTAGAAAAACGACCATGTTATGTACCAGAACTACTATGTTAAACAAAATACACCACCCAAATATATCATGTAAATAATAACACATTCTTTTAGTGCGTAGAGGTTGACTGCAACTTTTGTTGAAATTGTTCTAATTGTAGATTGTAACAACAATGTCTGTTGCTGGTATCTTTCTAAGAGCATATTGGCAACAACGTAGGCGAACAGTAAGTACAAAAATGCCGTGTAAAGTTGAAAAACTTCGGTAAATTTTACTATACTATACTATATACTCCCCAGCTTGAGGAGAATGCTGATTTGTTTCATATTTGAGAATTTCACAACTAAGTGTTTTACGTGTTGTATAGTTTTTATCCCAATAGATGTAATTATATAATCGATAAAGTCAAAGTAAAATAGAGTAAATTACAGCAAAAAGTACATGAATAGCATTAACTGTATTTTGATCGTGTCATAATCTTTTTATAATTTTATGTAAACTTATACAATACTAGCTGTTACCCGCAGCTCCGCTTGCGTGGATTTCGCAATTAGGACACATTATTTTTCATCCCCTGATTTATTTTTTGATTTCAATTTTATTACTTTTTAAGTTTGTGCAGTCTTCATTGTAACGTGACATTTACGCGGCGGCGCAGCTCGGCGGGAGCGACGAGCGAGAAAAAAAAAAAAAAGAAGGAGAGAGAGGCGAGCGTTGGGTGAAGAGGACGAGGGCCGTTGTCGAGGCTTTGGGAAGAGGGAGACCGTGTTTGGAGAGACGAGAAAAGGGCTGAGGCGAGAACACCAAAGGCCAACGGAGTCCAGGAGAGGCACAGGAAGAGAAGCTGACCTCAACAGGACCGCGGAGACGGGAACGGGCGTTCTGCGTATTGGTACCAATACGGTAAGTCGCCGGGAAGTGCGCGCCGATCGCCGGGAAGTGCTCGCCGATCGTCCGGGAGAAACCGGGTGCGTCCCAGTTTGCGTTGTGCCAGTTTTTTGTTTTGCCTCCAATCGTCACGGGTCGCCGGTTAACCAGGGTCGTCAATCCACCTACCAACGAGCTGCTGCCGCCCCCCCCCAATTTATATTATTTTTTTGTATATAGAATCCAGATTATATACGTGATTAGACCGGGTATTTGTTGCTTCTCCCTTTTTTCCCTTTCCTTCCTTTTCTTCTCTTTATTCTAATTATTCCACTCTTCGTTCTTTCTCTTCTTCGGCTTTCCTGTCATCTTTCTTTTTTTTCTGTGTGCCCTCTTGTGACACACTGGCGCCCAAGGTCAAGACAGTCGAACGACCCATCACCCCGCAACGACGAAGGAGCTAGCCTGGCCGTGAGAAGGACGTCACACAAGAAAGTGGCGCTCACCAACGTGGGGTTTTGATTCGAAGCTTTAGGGTGTCAAACTTTGGTACGAGTGGTGGATTTTGTTGAGTTGTCGGGTTCTTTTCTTTTTTCTTTTCTTTCTACTTCTTTTTCTACGCTCTATTCTGTCCGAGAAGCAACAATAATAATTAGTATCTTATTAGATCTAGATAGTGCGCATTTTTAAGAGGTCTTGTATCGTAGGGTTACATAATGGCCAGTGCAAGCTCCATTTATGACATGGAACCGAACTTTCTCAAGGTCAACGAAATCGACTACGAGTTGAGGATACGAGGAGTAGCTCGCACAGACCGTGTCGACGTTGACACAAAAAGGAAGAATTTGAGGAGAAGGCTACGGGAAGATCAGGCACGGCCCAATATTGTTTACACTACGTCACAGTTTGTGTTTCAAGACGAAAAGAAGGAAGTTGACGCCACGATAGCGGAGATACGAGAGTTGTTGAGGCAATTTGACGGATCTCGGGTAGAAGCAAACAGGAAGTTACAGACCAGGATCAACCACGTGTTGGGAAGAGTCAGTAGGTTTTGTGCAGACCCCGCCAGCGTTGAAGGTGAAGAATCCGCAGCGTATAAATTGGACAATACGTTGATCATTGTAGCATTCGATGAAACACGTTTAGAGATATTGGACCAAGCCAACTTACCGGGAGGTTCAGGTAGCGCAGATGTACAAGGAGCTATGCACAAGATAGCACCAGTGTACAAATGGGGAATTACGTTCGATGGTAAATCAGTGAGTTCCTTTCTGCAGCGAATTGATGAACTTAGAAGGGCGAGAAGTACATCAAAAGAAGAGTTGTTCCGATCTGCCGTAGATTTATTCCAAGGTCAAGCGCTAATATGGTACCGTTCAATCAGAGATTCAGTGCACAGTTGGGATTCGTTAGTACAGGCTTTGAAGCGAGATTTTTTACCACCCGATTACGACGAAGAATTGTGGAGAGAGATTCGTAGCAGGACACAAGGTTACAGCGAACGTGTTACTATTTACATAGCTGCAATGGCGAATTTATTTAGTCGTCTCTCACAACCGCCGTCAGAAGAAATTAGATTAAGCACCATAAAGAAAAACTTACTGCCCAAGTTCCAGACTAGAATAGCTTTGCAAGAGATAAGATCCATTGAACAGTTGGCCGATGTTTGCAGGACGTTGGAAGCCGCCTTTACGACACAACAACGATTCCAACCCCCACCAAGGAGAAGTGTAGCGTTGCTAGAACCAGATTTGGCCTACTCTGAGACGTTAGTAGAGACAGAGGCGCATTCGTCTAAATCGAGGCAGTCACGGTCACATTGTGCCCGACCTGAAGTTAGTGAACTGCGATGTTATAATTGCAATCGTGCTGGTCATTTGAAGCGAGATTGTCGTGAAGCCAAGAAGGAACCAGTGTGCTTTGGATGTGGACGACGAGGCGTTATCCGACCTAACTGCCCAAAGTGTTCAAAAAACTAGCAAACAGGCAACACGCATCCAAGAGCCCACGCGAGTTGTCTGGTGTATATCAAAAGGCTCAGAAAAAATGTGGCATCTCACCACACGAGTGGAGAGAGTGGTTGGCGAAGGTGAAGAGTTTTTGCGGTTCTTTAGCAAGATGTCCAAAAAGGTGTATAAAAAAGGCATCGTTTAAGCAGGTTAGTAACTCCGAATGCTCTGGAATAGTAACAAATCCGTTAGATGCTATGTTTGAGGTAGACAAAAAATGTGATAGTCGGCCCCATTTGAAAATTGAAGCGTATGGACATTCATTGGTTGCATTAGTAGATAGCGGAGCGTCAATTTCGGTAATAGGGGAAAACGGTCTATATCTGATAGAATTTTTTAATCTACATGTGTACGAATCAGGAACAGAAGGTGTGAATACTGCAGAAGGACGTATGCAGAAAATTACGGGGTACGTTCAGTTACCTATATCGGTAGATGGAACGTGCAAGGTCATGAAGTTTTGGGTGGTACCGACCATCCGCCATTTTGTAATCTTGGGTAACGATTTTTGTGAGAAATTTAGAACGGTAATAGATTGGAATCAGAAAACGATTGTTGTGAATGATAAACGTGAGGGATGCGAGGTCGGTGAAACAACCAACGAGGCGGTGATGACTGTCAACAAAATTATTTGTAGGGGAGAGTTGAATAGCGACCAAGAACAAAACTTGAGAGAGGTTATTGGCAAATTTAAGTCTCTTTCGTGGGAAGCAGGAACCAAGTTGGGTAGAACCAACAAAATAATTCACAAGATTGACACCGGTGAAGCAGAACCAATTAAGCAGAGATATAACAACATGTCTCCATATATGTTGCAACATTTGAACGGCGAGTTAGACAAAATGTTAGAATTAGGGGTAGTACAGCCATCCTCATCCCCGTGGGCATCACCAGTAGTGTTGATAAAGAAATCCTCAGGTGAGTACAGATTTTGCTTTGACGGACGTAAGCTTAACTCAGTCACGAAGCGCGACGCTTATCCGTTGCCGCACATTGACAGTATTTTGAGCAAATTAACGGGAGCTCAGTTTCTGAGTAGCATAGACCTGAAAGCTGCGTTCTGGCAGATTCCCTTAGATGCCAACTCTAAAGAAAAGACTGCTTTTGTGATACCATCAAGAGGTCTATATGAATTTAATGTACTGCCGTTTGGGTTGAATAATGCGGCGCAAACTCAACAACGTCTTATGGATACGATTTTTGGACCCTCTTTAGAACCATTTGTCTTTGTGTATCTAGATGACTTACTGATAGCGACACCCACTTTTGAGAAGCACGTAGAAGTGTTACAACAGGTATATGGAAAACTGCATGACGCCAATCTTACAATTAACTTTAACAAATGTGAATTTTGTAGGGCGAGTCTTCGTTATTTAGGGTTCGTAATTGACAGACAGGGGTTGCGAACGGATCCTGAGAAAGTGAGAGCTATGGTGGAATATCCACGGCCCAACACGCGAACAGAAGTGAAACGTTTCTTAGGAGTTGCGGGTTGGTATAGGAGATTTGTTCCTAATTTTGCGGTGATGAGTGCACCTATAACTCAGCTCATTAAAGGGCAAAAGAAAGGTCAGGCGATTACTTGGACGACCGAAGCTGAGGAAAGTTTTGTGAAGATCAAGGAGGCGCTAGTATCAGCACCTGTGCTTGCCAGTCCTGATTTTACTAAATTATTTTCAATCCAATGCGACGCATCAGATAGAGGTTTAGGATGTGTGCTTGTGCAGGCGAATGAAGAAGGCAAATAGACTCCGGTAGCTTATGCTAGCCGAACACTGACAGACCAAGAAAGAAAATATACAGTTACTGAGAAAGAATGTTTAGGGGTATTGTTTGGTGTTGAGAAGTTCAGGCCATATGTGGAAGGTACAAAGTTTAAAATTATAACTGACCATTACAGCTTGTTGTGGCTCAATCAATTGAAAAATCCAACAGGTAGATTAGCACGTTGGGCCATGAAGCTACAGCAATACGACTGTGAGATCGAACATAGAAAGGGAGCGTTGAATGTAGTCCCAGACGCACTGTCGAGAGCGCCACACGAAGTAGCGATATTGAATATGGTCAAGGGTGAGAGCATGAAAGATCCGGAATACAGACGTCGATTTGAAAGAGTCAGCAAATTTCCAGATGGTAATGCAGTGTGGAAGATACAAGATGACTCCCACCTGTTTAGGCGTTTGAAGAGCCAAAATGGTAGTCCAGAGTGGAAATTATATGTAGCAGAGACATACCGAACAGAGGTCATGAAATCATGTCATGACGAACCAATTGCTGCGCACCTAGGCATGTTCAAAACTTTGAAAAGAGTGCAGGAGCTTTATTATTGGCCGCGCATGCGTAAGGACGTACAACGTTATGTAAGAAGCTGTGAAGTGTGCAAGGCGCAGAAGCCACTCAATTTGGCGCCACCAGGATTGATGGGGAAGTCCCGTAAGGTCTCTTACCCATGGCAGATGATTGCTTTGGACCTGATAGGACCACTTCCAAGATCGTCTAAAGGTAATAGATTTTTGCTTGTGGTATCAGACTGGTTCACAAAGTTTTGTTTATTGAAGCCGCTGCGACAGGCGATTAGTAGCAGCATTACCACCTATCTGCGAGAGAATGTCTTTTATATCTTTGGAGCACCGCAAGTAATAGTGTGCGATAATGGGAAGCAGTTGACGAGCAACATGTTTAGAGGATTGGCCAAGGAGTTTGGAAGCCAATTATGGTTTAATTGTAAGTACCATCCTCAAGTGAATCCTGTGGAAAGGGTAAACAAAGTAGTAGGAGCTGCGATACGCTCATACATAAAAGATAAGCGACATGACAAGTGGGATTCTAACATCCACGAGATTGGCTACGCGTTGAGAACAGCCGTCCACGAATCGACAGGATACACTCCCGTTTTTTTGAATTTCGGCCGTTTTGTACCAGTACACGGATTACTGTACGGTAAGGACGAAAACCTACATCAGTTTGATCTTCAACCCACTTTCAGGGACGTTTATGCGGAAAGTATGGATCGTTTATTGCCATTGTACAACGAGGTAAAGAGGAAACTTGATAAGGCGTATCACAGAAATTGTCATTATTATAATCTAAGGAGACGCGAGGCACCTTTGTATGCCGTTGGTGATACGGTGTGGAAGAAAAATTACGTTTTGTCAGATGCTTCTAAAAGATATGCCGCTAAATTGGAACCGAAATTCGTGAAGTGCAAGATTGCAGAAGTCCTTTCACCTCTAGTGTACCGATTAACGACAGAGAATGGTGTGGATCTTGGGAGATACCATACCAAGGATCTGAAACCTGATCAGACAAGAAACTCGGATTAGACGCTGTGAGGAAGGTGATGAGTGCATGAAGAAGAACGATAGATCTCGTGAATGGAGTGTGAACGGTTAGGGTGTTTGTTTGTGTAGAGAATAGATTTCGATTTTGACTTTTTTAGGCACTAGTGTCGAGGTTGGCAGATTTGACAGATTTGTAGTATTGGCAGAATTTGAAAATTTAGCCATTTATACCCAGAGTAGACAGAATAATAGATTGACAGGTTGTGACGTAGCTATTATACCGGATTTAGACATATGAAAATTGACAATGTGATGGACTACAGTTGGCCATTAGTCTGAAATGTCGGACCATCCAATAAGGAGAATAGTTGGATGAGTGGTCCAAGTCCTATAGGGAAACTCAAAATAAGTTTAGTTGTTATGTAGGTAGGGTAGGTTTAGAAAAAAATTAATACTCCCCGTAATTATTTTAATTCCAGTAATTATTAATTTTTTTGGGTAACTAACGGGGGTGTGTAACGTGACATTTACGCGGCGGCGCAGCTCGGCGGGAGCGACGAGCGAGAAAAAAAAAAAAAAAGAAGGAGAGAGAGGCGAGCGTTGGGTGAAGAGGACGAGGGCCGTTGTCGAGGCTTTGGGAAGAGGGAGACCGTGTTTGGAGAGACGAGAAAAGGGCTGAGGCGAGAACACCAAAGGCCAACGGAGTCCAGGAGAGGCACAGGAAGAGAAGCTGACCTCAACAGGACCGCGGAGACGGGAACGGGCGTTCTGCGTATTGGTACCAATACGGTAAGTCGCCGGGAAGTGCGCGCCGATCGCCGGGAAGTGCTCGCCGATCGTCCGGGAGAAACCGGGTGCGTCCCAGTTTGCGTTGTGCCAGTTTTTTGTTTTGCCTCCAATCGTCACGGGTCGCCGGTTAACCAGGGTCGTCAATCCACCTACCAACGAGCTGCTGCCGCCCCCCCCCAATTTATATTATTTTTTTGTATATAGAATCCAGATTATATACGTGATTAGACCGGGTATTTGTTGCTTCTCCCTTTTTTCCCTTTCCTTCCTTTTCTTCTCTTTATTCTAATTATTCCACTCTTCGTTCTTTCTCTTCTTCGGCTTTCCTGTCATCTTTCTTTTTTTTCTGTGTGCCCTCTTGTGACACACTGGCGCCCAAGGTCAAGACAGTCGAACGACCCATCACCCCGCAACGACGAAGGAGCTAGCCTGGCCGTGAGAAGGACGTCACATCATTAATGACAATATATAAAAGTGTTTGTCCTCCGCCTGACAAATCAACATAACTAGTGGAGCTATAGAAACACGAAATTTGGACAGAAGGTTCCTTTCGTAATGTAAGCATCCATTACCCCTAGGTGTATGAAATAAGGACTGAAAGTTTGGAGTTAGAGTCCCGTGAATTTTTAAATACGACGGAGGGGGGGGGGGGGGTGAAACAAAGTTATTCTATAACATAGGAGTATAATACAATACATCTTTTTTTTATAAGTGGCCATAAGGATTCCCATGTTAAATTTTATACCCCATGTTAACATATGTTTGAGTAAAGATTTAAAATATTTGGATATTTTTGTCGCTAATAGCTGTAGGCAGCTATGTAAAAACAAACATTTACCTGACCTATCTAACTTGGTTGTAAATTTGATATTATTCTGTATTTAATAAAGTTTCGTTGTGCCTATAAAAGTATGTCATAGCTAATCTCTCTGAGATAGTGTCTGTTTTGTATGACTTCTTCACGTCTTACAGGCAAACCATAGTACTCTCAATATTGTCTTCCTAAAGACAGCACCGTGTCTTTAATGGAAATCAGACACTTGTTGTACACTGCATTTATAATCTGAACACTCTCTTGACACTCTGACTTAACTTGACAAACCCAAAGCTTTGCATAATGACTGGTATGTGAAATAAACGACACTACCAACAGTTTTTAAATCCGAGAATTATGTTGGCCCTCTCATCGCATGAAGAAGAGGATCAAGGTAGAAACATTCCGCGTTATTAGGGTGAACGGTGTACACTCTGCTCAAAGCTTGATCTCTTTTGACTCCCGGCGAACCATCAACATTGTTTCCACTTTTTCATCTCTCAAATTTGGTACTTTTCCACACATAGTATTAAGGTACTTCAACATAAAGAAAGATTTTTGCAAAAGTATCCGCTTTGCAAAGCTCAAAAAATGATAGAAGAGTAGTTTTCTGTGAATTATTTACCTTTTCAGTTACATTATTAAAGTCGTTAGGATTAAAATAGACAGCAGGCGATTTTCCAAGTGCACTGCGAGATGAAAAACCGCTGGAAATTGTTCATGTATATGAAAGGCCAAGATTCTCCAGCTGCTATATATATATCGAACACTTTCATATAATTTGACCTCATCAATGTGATTTTCAAGACCAAATAATCCTGGTTGGATCTTTTATTAACACACTTGCATATACCGGGCATTTTTTTTAAAACTGAACATAGGCCTATGTTCAGTTTTAAAACGACGCTGTCAATGCAGGAACATTGTTGGTTGCATAACCACGAGAAATCGTTTGAGTAAAGCAGAGCTTTTTCACCGAAACTACAGCGTGTTATGCACATGTTCAACAATAAACAAAACCATAAATACGACAAAAATTTTATAAAACAAAAACTAAATTTTATAACAAATATTCGAAATGACCGCCTCCCTGTTCCAAGCAATAACCAAGTCTGTGATGGAATCCTTGCACTGCATTTCGTACGAAATTTGGATTCAACTCTTGGCAAGCTCTGACTATTCGTTCCTGTAACTCCTGAATTGTTTGAATTTCTACGT